CAAGATAATACTGGCCATTGTTGATAGTGTTGGTATAAGCCCTGTAGAGCATCTTTCCTAGTGACTAACAGCATGATGATTAGCTTTAGACTCTCTCGGGTTAATTAGCTGGTCCTGAAGTCGCTCATGACTGCCTGTTGTCCAAGTAGAATGCATTAAGACAGTGAGCTTCGCTGTCCAACTCTGACAAGCTTATCGGTGGGATTGTGAAAAGCACTGAGCATTGGCCTTCCTCTGCTCCCATCAGAGACAATAGGGGTTTTACTGTTGTCTTCAGTAGGAGCAGAGTTAGGCCAGTGCTGAGCAAATTTGACAGTTCCACCCTATGTGCCCAAATCAAGTTAAGAATTCAAATCCTTGTTTCCAAAAGCTGTTAATGTGGGGAAGTGTCCCTTTCCATGGCCCCTGGGGTGTAATAACGAACTACAGATAGACACCGAAAGCACTGTTGAATCTCTTTGGACTGCCTTTCCTTCTCCACATGGTCTGAAGGTAAATCTGTATTCAAAGCATTTCTTCTAGACTTGCTCCTTCTCCTCTGCTCCAACAGACAGAGGAGAGGTCGTTACCAGAAGCCATTTAAATCATGACACCAGCCGAATATTTTCCTCCTAAGTAGAGACAAGTGTGTTGGCTGCTCTGGGTCTTGACCCAAACCAGATCACTGGGCTCAAATGCATAGAAAGTAGCCTTTCCAGTAACACTAGCCCACGCGTATTTGTTTCTGTAAGTCCAAAGGCCTAAAACTCCAGTCATTGTCTTTCCATTGACATAAATGGAACAGGTGTCAAATGATCAACAGATGGTCGGTAGGTTTGTTTTTGAAGTGGGCTTGAAATGCTTGTAAGTTTCAGATCCCCACCCTCTACCAGAACATCTCAATTACAGAATCCACACTTGTGTCCTTTGCAGTCTAATTTTTGGGGCCAGATCATGCAGCTGGTGTAAATCTACATAGTTCCATGGTTCATACATAGTTCAGTGGTATGCCAGTTTACACCTGCTGATCACCTCCCCCTCAGGTCGGAGCCAGAACGTTCCTTCCCTTCTGCAGTTGATGGCTTCAGCTAACACCTAAAGCATTGCTCTAAATGCATCTCCCTGTTCTGATTTAAGTGTGATATCAACTCGTGGAGAGAGCCCTGACTTTTGATCCTGACCACTTAAAGGGGGGGGAGGGGGGCGGCAGCTTTCTCCTTCTAATGTAATTCAGCAAAGCACCTATAATGGACTGCATGTAGTGTTGACTTGAAGGGAGATGTGTGTGTTGGAGGGAGAATACATTTCCGAGAATCTCTCCTGTGACCCAAAACATCACCAATAAAAATCAGAGAAGCAGCCCACACACACATCCATTCGAGGAAAAAGGCCCAGTAGAAAACCGACTTGCCATGATCCGTAGAGCATTTGTCACTGAATGGCTTGGTGCAGATCCATGAAGCCAGTCTGTAGAAGGTGGTGTCTGTCTCTGTTTTGATTACTACTAGACCTGGAAAAAAAAGGATTCCAATCCCAGGGAAATGCTCACAGGAGTTTTTTGCTTTTCTTTTCAAAGCTTTCAAGTGTGAGTTCATGCTGCATGTAAGTGTTTTGGCTTTTGCCTCTTCTCTCCCCTCCCTCCCTCCCCCACAGATGAACCTGGCGACTACATAAACCGAGGACCATTTAATAATGACCAAGGTCAGAAGAGAGTCTGCAGGTTCAGACGTGATTGGCTGGGAAACTGCTCCGGGATGCTTGATCCCAGCTATGGATACAAAGATGGAAAACCATGTGTTGTCGTCAAGCTCAACAGAGTTCTAGGCTTCAAACCAAAGGCAAGTGCTTCTTTTCCCTTCCTATTAATTTGGGGGAAGTGTTTTTATAGCAGGAGCAGAGGACTGGTCTTGGAAAAGCCATTTACTCTGGACTCTTGTCTGTAAAATGGAGATATTCATGTCTACCTTGCAGGGTAGACATGAGGCTTAAATTCCTGGAAAGTGCTGTAAGAGCCTTCAGTGATAGGTGCTATGGAAGCACGCTGCAAATCGAGTCTCTTGATAACATCACCTTGGTTCAGGACTGCCAGTTGCCTTCCCCAATTCAACCACTCAAGTTCCAGGCTGACTCTCTGGCACTGTACCTAGAAAGCAAATTCCCATGTGGGCTCTGTGCCATTCCTCCATTATGTGTGAATCATACGCTTTTCTAGACTACCTTTAGGAGATTTGCTTTGTCCTTTGACCACAAGCATTTATTGGGGGAGGGGTGTTCTCTCGGGCTGTCAAGCCTTATCTTTTACTAAATTCACTAACAGGAGGAGGAGGATGATGATTATTATTTTTTATTTTTTTTAAAGTCCCCTGAACTGCATCTACCCTGCTCCCCTCAGGAAGCTGTCTGTAGAGCTTCTCTTGGCAGATTCAGATGGCCACTTAACTTGCTCACAGTAATGACTGAAAATCATTGCCAACCTGAGCTGGCTTTGAAACTTTGACCTAGAAGCAAATCTGGCTCCTCCCAATGAATCTGCCAGTAGTTCACCTCCCTCCCCCACCCCCTGGGACTTTGACACACAAGGATGGGGCTACTTGTTGGCACAGTTCTGAACTTCAGGAAGACATGCTGGAAATTAATCAATGTGCGTGTTTTCAGTGGAGTTAGTCTGAAGAGCAGAGATTGTCCAGTGTGAAATGTAACACTTGCTTGTTCTGGGTTTCTTTTAGCCTCCAACAAATGACAGCCTCCCTCCTGAGATGATGGGAAAATACAATCCATATGTCCTCCCTGTTCATTGCTTTGCTAAGGTAAGTGGGAAAGAGTGTCCATGCCTTTCCTGACACGTGATCAGTCTCTCTTGTGAATCAAACTTCCTACAAAGTTAACTGTTGTAAATGTGTAATGAACTCAGGCCATCAAAGGGCAGAGCCAGCCAAAACCATAACCTACACCATACCAGTTTTGTATAAGCAGAGACTCAGGCTTCTAAGCCATGTCTGTGGGAGGACATATACATTCAGTGATGCTGTTTATTATCCAGGAGCTTCTTTCTCTGGCCCCAGTTCTTAGATTGGAGCAGATTGACTTTAAAAGGATATTTTAAAAAGTGAGCATGCTTCAATCCTGAGATAGGAGTCAAGTCTTGGTGCTCATTCACTCCTTGACCTTTCTGCTGACAAATGACCCCTCCCCACCCCCCCATTTCTTTTGATAAGGATATCTTCCCCTTAGGAACTGGATTGAGGCAACTCATTTCACAAAGGTCAGTGAACAATTAATGATGACTGAATGTTGTCATTGACCTGATCTCTGGGATGGGTGACCTAGAAATAAGTAAAAGGCACTCTTCTCCTCGCGCCCCACCCCCCCATCCTTTCAGCCATGTACTCCTCAAAAGCAAGGTCTCTTCCAAGTAGCAGTATCCTCTCCCCTGGGTAATTCATTTACTCAAGCAGGAATTTGTAGAGAATAATGCTAACTGAAAAAGGCAGATTATTTTTTGTTCAAATTTAAAATTTTTGGACAGATTTAAGCTGCCCAGAGGCACAGCAAGCTTTGTCAATTCTGGGGTCAGTTCTAAGAGGGAATAATTATTAGAATTCAGGATTTTCCTGTACCCTCTGCTGTAGATAACAATGAGTGGCCAGGGAACAATAATGCTGATCTTACCAAGCTGCTGGAAAACAACTTGAAGTTCTGTGGTGACATAATTTGAGTGTTTTTGTGGAACCTACTTCCCTAATAAAAGGTAAATAGGAAAAATCATCCTGGATTATGTCAATTGATTATTTAATTGCCCCCATTCTACTACTGTGCACCTGTCCTCAGGGATATTGAATTCGTTTGAATGAACGAAGATGACTTTATTGCACTATCCAGCACAGAAGTCACATGGTGATGGCTAAGTACGGTTCAGATAATTAGGTTGAATGGGTATACAGTGGTGGGAATATTTACAATGGGGCTTGTCCAAGTGATTTTTTTCCCCTCCCTTTAGAAAGAGGAAGACGTTGACAAAATCGGCACCATTGAATATTATGGGATGGCTGGCTATGCTGGCTTTCCTCTACAATATTATCCATACTATGGCAAGCTGCTTCAGCCAAAATATCTCCAGCCTCTCATGGCAGTGCAGTTCACTAACCTGACCTATGACACGGAAGTGCGTGTGGAATGCAAGGTCTACGGTGAGAACATCGGTTACAGTGACAAAGACCGTTTTCAGGGACGTTTTGAAGTGAAATTTGACATAAAGAGCAGCTGATCATAAGCACAATTTTCTTTTCTCCCCTCCTAGCCATTTAAAAAGTAAAAAAACAAAACAAAAAACCTACTAGTCTTGAACAAACTGTCATACGTATGGGACCTACACATAATCTATATGCTTTACACTAGCTTTCTGCATTACTAGGTTAGAATGTAAACTTAAAGTGTAGCAATAGTGACAAAATATTTATTCTACTGTAAATGACAAAAGAAAACAAAATTGAGCCTTGGGAGATGCCCATTTTTACTGTAAATTATGATTCCATAACTGACTTGTAGTAAGCAGTGTTTCTGGCCCCCTAAGTATTGCTGCCTTGTGTATTTTATTTAGTGTACAGTACTATAGGTACATACTCTGGTCATTTTTCAAGCCATGTATTGTATCTGTTTTCTACTTTCTGTGAGCAAAGATTTTGCTGCCCGAGGTGTAAATACTCAATGGGACTAGAACTGGCATGGTACTTTACCTTTTTTTTTTTTTTTTCCCTTTTAAAGATAAAGGCCCACCCGTGAGACTATTTAACAGCACTCCATAGATCCTTTTTATTTTCCTGTGGTGTAAGGGTATTTTATTTGAAGGGGTGGCAGGGGGAACTAATTTGCGTTTATGAATAAATAAAAAAGGTGATTGTGTTCTGTGCTCTGTAGTGAATGCTCTTTCCACCCTCATCCTCCAGTATGTTGTGTGAAACCTGAGTCAGGCTTTCCCCACCACTGATGACTGATAATTATTTGCTTTGTATATTCTTTTTTTTCTGCTGGCAGCATCACATGGTGTGGTGCTAATGTCTTTACTGAATGTTTTAACCATTTTCATGGTGGAAGATTTTATATTTATGCAGTTGTACAATTTTATTTTTTCTGCAAGAAAAAGTGTAATGTATGAAAAAACCAAAGTCACTTGTTTGAAAATAAATCTTTATTTTGAACTTTATAAAAAGCAATGCAGTACCCCATAGAATGGTGTTAAATGTTGTCTAAAGTGCAAAACTCTATGTTCTAACATATGTAATAAATAGCCAGGAGCACAGTGCTCTTGCTCTTGTATTTCAGTCAGGTTAAAACATTGGACAATAAATGAATGAACACGTCTCTCCTTGTCTGTCTTTCGTTTAGGAACTGGAGATAGTTCCATGTTCTGCTGTCAGTTGTCCAGAATCTTGAAAAAGTACTGGACCTGTAAAAGACACGTTACAGTGCATCTTCTAGGTAGTTAACCATTGCAAAGTGACTAAAAATGGCATCAGTGGGAATCCAGCTGGATCTCTGAAACTAATCGACGGTACTTGCTTTGCAAGAAAAACATCTTGGCTGTCAATGTACTGGTCACACTGGAATCTGGCTGTGTAGGGCTGGGGGACCTTGAGAGTTCCTGCAGTTAGCACTTCTTCAGTACCTGACTTTGCTATAGCTGCATGTACTCTTTTTCTATAGCTTTGATGGGCAGTGATTGTTTTTAGCACTGCTGGGAATTATGGAAAGGTCAGACAGTAACTTTTTGAATATCAGCCTCTGTCAAAGCTTTAAAACCCAAATCAACATCACAATTTACAAAGTAAATATCCTTAAATCAGAACCAAGTTCTGATTCAACACTTTTCTTCTCTGTAAGTGTTGATTTCATCATAATTTACTGACAATCTTATCCTTCCAGGCCTATTTATTTTACTTATAGAACTTAAAAATGGCACTGAGATCCTATTTCAAAGTGTAGGCCTGCATTTTAATTAGATGAAGGAGGAGCCTTCAGCTTCCTCTCTCAAACAGGTCAAAAACCTTTGAGTTTAGGAAAGGCAAGGGCTACTACCTTGTGTTTTAGACAGTATTAACTAATCTAACTTCTGATAGGAGTAGCTGAAATGAAAATGTTGTGCTTACTGACCACCAAACCTGTACTCCAACTTCTGTTAATCTGCTGATGCCTCAAACTGCCTTAGCACCTAATGCACTTTTATACTTTTGAAGGCTGAGTTGGCAGTCTCAAATACCCTTCTAAAAATATGGCTGAAATTTTTTCTGTTTAAAAGTTGGACAGCATTGGCTGCTTCAGCCCAGACACAAGCAGAAGACAAACTGATTCACAAGCAATAACTGAGTTTATACAAAATTGTAATCACCAGAAACCTCCATTTAATGAGAATGTACTTCAAAGACAGCAGTAACTGAGTTATTCCTGGGTGTTCACAAATACTGTTCCTACTGTTAAAGGTTTGTAGGGAGCTCAATGAATGTCACTGATATGCATGGTAGCTCCAGTGATTTTTTTTTGGGGGGGGGGGGGAAGAGGGCAAGAGGTTGGCATAGGCAATCTATTCTCTCATTTAAAATGAATGCCTATGGCTCCTTCCATATACAGCAGCAGGTTGAAGAAATGCAGTCCTAACTAGTGCTTTGTGTGTGTGTGGCCCCTTAAGAGGCAGAGTTGAAAGACTGGGTCTTGCTCTTAACAGCAACAGACATTTTGTGAACCCCACCAGCTTGAGAACAAATGAACTGCATGCCTCTTACTTGCTTTATGCACACCTCAGGCCCTGCTTGAAGAATCTTACTGTGGTAAAAACTGAGCTCATACCACAAGGCCCAATTAGGCTTGCATGCCATTTTGCAATTCATGACAGACTTTAAAAGGTACCTTTTTAAGTGTTAATAGAACAGCACCTTAACTTCACACACCCGAGAACTTCCATACAATGTCTCCTGCTTTTCTATGCCTTCACAAAGAAGTTTCATTCCCTAAGCCAAAGACATATTAGACCCGCTACTGAGGCATATCAGTAAAAAGGTAGCACAGTGAGATGTGACTGAGTTATGATAGTCACAGGTGTTCTAAAGACTGATGGAGCTAAAGAAAATTGCAATGATTAAAGTGGCATGTGGAAAGTGTTAGCAGAAAGAAGCCTCTCTAATCAATCAGCATTTTCACAGTGGGGTACCCATCCCCCTCTCACAGCTAGGAAAGCAAGCCCCACAGAAGTGAGACAAGGATTCTGTTCCCACTCCATTTCATTTCCTGTCACACTACTTACCTTGATGCCCCTCTAAAATCAAATGTGAAGCCTCTCAAACCTAAACTACACTGATTTTCCAACTCCGTCAAGTTACCACCACAAACATGCCCCTCCCCTAATATAAAGTATTTGCAACTGGCAGAATCCAATCGATTGAATTAGACTTTCATAACTGAGAAAGTACCTTTCTGTATATTTCATCATGTGTTGCACAGCAAAAGGTGGGTCCCTTGAAAAATCACCACTGAGTAGATAGAAAGTGCCCCAAAAGCATCTAAAACTATCCCAAGAACAAGCTCTTCTGCATCTAAAAAATCATCCTTAATGAAGAGTCTGGACAGCCTAGACTTGCAACTAATGACAGGCCCTCATTTTGCATGGTCTGAGCTGGTACTTAGAATGACAGTGGTGCTGCCATATACTCAGTAAAACAATCATTTGTCAGAGACAATGCTCTTAGAGTCCCTGGCTAAAATCCTAGCCCCAGTGAAGTTAATGAATTTTTCCACTAACTTCAATGAGGCCAGGATTTCACCCCCAGGGCAAAGGGCTTAGAAGAAAGACTAAGTAGAACAGTCCACTTTTTTTATGCTGTCACTTAGAGACTCAGACTCTAAGGTCAGAGGGGATCAACATGATCATCTAGTCTGACCACCTGCACATTGCAGGCCAGAACCTCACCCCCTGCTCCTTCAGTAACTCTGCCAGAAGTTAAGAGTCTATTAAAGTCCTCAAATCATGGTTTAAAGACATCAAGTTACAGAGACTCTTCCATTTACACTAGTTTAAAGCTTCAAGTGACCCTTGCTGCATTCAACCTACTTCTGAAGTCAGTGACACAATGGAACATGAGAAGTCTTTACAAACAAGACCCCTGGGAAACCAGTTTTACTTTAGGGACTGCCCACCAAACATACTGCTGCCTTGAACTGCCCTCTGTAATGGCTAAACAGTCCTATTTGATTAATAGAGGGATAATGCTTCTAACATGGCACTGAGTTTGAAAAAAACAAAGTATGCTAGAGGAAATTGGTGGGAAGGCATTTACCAATGTACCATGCCACTGAAAAAATATTCCCAACAAGAAAGCATGAGACACCATCAAAAACCCAGCCCTCCCTTTTCAATATAATCGAAAGTTTAATAACAGGCAGTTTAGTGACACACAACGTCTCCAGTCATGACTGGTGCTCCATTGTGCTGGTCCTGTACAACAGAGGCCGTCCCTACCTTGTCCAGCTATATGTATACACCAATAACCAACCAAAGGACTCCCACTAAACAATGGAGATAAAATGTCTGCTCTATGAAAATCATCTGATCAGACTCTCGCCAAAGGTATGTACATTTATTAAGACCACGCTACAAGCCACAGGGTGAAAGGCTGGCTTCACTGAACTCAATGGAAGTTTTGCCATTGAGTTCAGTGGGGTCAAAATTTCACCCATAGGCTCTACAAGTCAACTTCAGGGGAAAAACAACAACATTCCTTCCTCCCCCCCAAAAAAATGAACAATAAATTAAATTATTTTATATCTGGGCCCCACAGTAAATTGAGAGGATTTCAGTCACTAAATTCTACACCAAAAAAGCTATCCAATGTATAAATTCAATCCACCAATATAATATTAAAATAATTTGATAACATCTTAAATTGGTTCCCAAACTTTGCTCTTTAAATTCAGTTGACCTAAGTATAGGAGTTGGGACAAAAACCCACTATAGAAATCCTACACTTCCAGTTCTGCAAACAAATTTAAAATTTTATTAGAAAATATTTAAAAAATAAACGATACAGAAGATTTGAAGCGTCAGTTATTGGTCATTGGGGGTAACATACAGAGTATAGGGGGATGCTGGTATTTTGGGGTTGGGCAGCACACATAATATATACAGACTGCAATGACCCCAATGGGGGGGTAAATGGTGGGCGGGATCAAGATACAGCCGACAAGCGGTGAGGGTCCATCACTCATACAGAAAGTACAGACAGTCATGGGTATAAGTAAGCGGGCTGGGTAACGGGGATGGGGTGACCCTCACGTGGTGGGGTTCCGTTAGGTTCGGTGGGTTCAGGGCTCAGGGGATAAAGTCCAGCAGGGGGGGTTTATAGGTCTCTTCCCCCTTGCGGGTGCACGAGGTCTCCCCAGCTCACTCTCAGTATTGGCGGTGGCCGGTGATGTGCTCTGTGTAGATGTCCCGTGACCAATGAATAGTGTCCGAGACCATTAGGCGTCTCATGAGCCGCGCGTAATGACGGCCTACCCCACAGGTCCTTAGCACGCGTTCGTTACATGGGTCCCAGGCACCCAGGGCCCCAACGAGCAGGGCGTCGTTGTACACTATCCCTGAGAACCAAATGGTACGCAAAAACCACCACCAAAATCTACACTGCGTGCATACATGCGTCATTGGGGGGGAAAAAAGCCAATTCAATTAAGGTGGAAGTGGCCTATTCTCAACACTTGACAAGAAGGTGTGAGTATCAACAGAGGGAAAATTACTTTTTGTAGTGACCCAGTCACTCCCAGTCTTTATTTAGGCCTAATTTGATGGTGTCAAGTTTGCAAATTGATTCCAGTTCTGCAATTTCTTGTTGGTGACAATTCTTTGACAAAAAAACTTCAAAAACACCTTCTTGTCAACTGTTGAGAATAGGCCACTTCCACCTTAATTGAATTGGCTCGTTAGCACTGACCAGGGCCGGTGCTACCATTTAGGCAAACTAGGCGGTTGCCTAGGGCGCCAAGATTTGGAGGCGCCAAAAAGCGGTGCCTTCAATTTTTTTTTTTTTAATAGCATGGCTGGGCTGGGCTGCTGCACGGTCGCCGCTCCACTTCTCCAGCCTCCCAGGCTTGCAGCGCCAATCAGCTGTTTGGCGCCACAAGCCTGGGAGGGGAGAATTAGAGCGGGGGCGATGTGCTCGGGGAGGAGGCGGAGCTGGGGTGGGGAGTTGCCGCACGGCTGCCGCGGGGGGGCGCCTCAGGGCGGAGGAGGGCAGGGAGCTGCCGCAGGGCTGGGGGGGGGGGTGCACCAGCCCTGGCACTGACCCCCACTTAGTAAAGCAACTCCCATCTTTTCATGTGCTGTAATATATATACCTGCCTACTGTATTTTCCACTCCATGCATCTGATGAAGTGGGTTTTAGCCCACAATATCTTATGCCCAA